GAGTCATTTTTTGGACAAAATTTCTCTTTATTAAACTGTCTGCCTACTCTGAGACTGCCTAATTTACTCAGCAAGAATACGGAAAAGCAGCTAGGTCACTCGAAAAGCTCCACTTGCTCATCGCATTTTAATTTTTATGCACTTCATTTTGATCAGCTTTCATTCATCATCGTCTTCCTCACCACTGATACAGCTGGCAACTTCTCCACCCTCTATTTTGCACGTTTTTCATCCAAAATTCTATATATCCGCCTATCGGGCTGGCAGTCTTTTTTCGTTCGTTTTATAACACACTGGCATCAATCAGCAGTCCGCTTCGTCCATCTGTTACTCTCATTCTTGTCACTTAATCAGTTCAGTTCTTTTTTCCTGGCGTAAATTGCTTTGATAATATCCCTTACAAAGATTCAGACCCTGTACCTTATCGGAGATGTGCTGCAACTTACGGACACCTACCATACATATTTCGATAGTTCACTTCCGATCGTCGTTAATTTTTATAAAAGTAATATAAAACTGGAGAAGTTGCCAGCTGCATCGATGGCGTGACACCAAAGATCGATGAAACAACAGCTGTTCAAGGTATTCAAGGTAAGGTAAGATAACATAAAACTATAATTACCCCTAATCCCAACTTACTATAACAATAAATTTGATGTCATACTTTGTTTATAAGTAATCAAAGACCAGCCCATGCAAATGCACTTGTTTTTGACTTGTTCTCCAAGTCTTAAACGCTGTTTTTTGCTGTGGATGAAATGTTTAACAACGAACCTTAATGCTTAAAGCAGTCACATCACCGTAATGCTTATCAATAAGCTCAACCACTGTCATCATTATACTGCTACGACTAAGTGTCAGATGTACACATCTCGAACGAAACACTGAAAAACATGCTCAAATGAGCACAAAAAAAATAAAGAATTATCCAAAAATGGCTTAGGACAGCAAATAAAACAAGCCGATAAACTGAGGGAGCGGCACGATGGCGCATAAGTGTAAAGGCGCGAATGCGTCACCCACCTAGGCCGATATACCCCAAGGTTTCTTGGGTTATGACCAGGGTCTGTCATCCCCCCAAAATGGGAGATTTAAAGGCGAATTCCTCCCCTTGCTCCTCTACCCCATCCCAAATTATAAAACTCCAAAAAAATAAAATAAAACAAAATAAAGGATGTGTCATCTTTCAATGATATTCCGCCGGGACGTCGGGAATCGACGTTCCGAGGAATTCGCCTTTACATAAGTAAAAGCTCTTTTTCTTGTACTTCGAATTATCAAAATCTTCAGGAAAAGCAAAAAAGAAACTGTGCGACCCGCTAAAGCTCAGCACCGAGAGAAAAGATCCAAAACAGGAAAAAAGATATACTGAAAAGCGTTAATTCAGCAACAACGAAGCTTAGATATCGCACTATTAGGGAAATGGCGGCAAAAACAAAGAATTGAATCTCATTTTTCGAGACCAGGCAGCTAATACTTGAACAGAACTAGCCCAAAGTTATGTCAGCTAAAACGCGGAAGGCGTGTTTTAAAAATGGCCGTTTGGGGATCACCGACAGAGTCAATACGAACAAGATAGCAAGACGCAGATCACTAGCACAAATCACCCTTTACATTTCTAAAACACAAACAGAAATGGGCAAAACTAGGGCAGCTTCGTAGTAAAAACCGACCATCAACAAATATTTTGGGAATTTCAAAAGAAAATGGATCATCATAAAAACCAATAAAATGCTACTTGTTCAATCAGGTGAAGCAGAAAGCTGCAGAAAGCCAATTACCAATTATCCCACTGAATTCTTGATTCGAATTCATCTTACTACAGTTTACGGTCAGGAATCAAGCATAGGTTGCAAACACGTCGAACAACCACTTAAAAGCTTATTATTTAATAACCCCAGACTGCAAAGAACCAGGTTTATCGGTGCAATCGTGCATTTTTGCGCTAAACGCCCAGATCGTTAACAGAAGGAATGGCTTCTGCGCTGTTCTTTAACATATGGGGTCATACCAGTTGTATTTTAGCCTTTTTCTGAATACAAAGGAGAGAGCATCGCTTGGGACGAAAGTGTTGCATTACCGGACCACGTAGAACCCTAGTGTGCATAATTATTAATTTTCGGTGAAGCCTGGTCGTTTTTCCAGTGAATGCTCATTCATCGAAAAAACGCAAAATTTGGAGGAAGTTGGAAGAGGATTAACAACCCCACAAAATGCACCCGCTTTTGAGTTTGCGATAAAACTGAGTATTTTTTACGTCCGCGCGCAGGGGATTTCACTTCCAAGCTGAAATAAGACCAATCTTGAACATAGAATATCCTTGCCAAATTT